TGATTTATTGTGTCTAGTCTAGACGCGATAAATCGACCCCCGAGTGCTCTCTCTGCGCTGCGAGAAGCGCAGGCGGGGTCAACGGGGGAGCAGCAGCAGTCGACTCACCGCGGTGAAGACACCACGGTAAGTCGATCTAAGTATGTCGACTTCAGCTACGTTATTCATGTAGCTGAAGTTGCGTAACTTAGATCGATCCCACCCCTAGTGTAGACCAGGGCTAAGTCACTTAAGCCCAGATTTTTTAAGGTAGTTAGGTGCTTAACTTCCACTGGGAGTTAGACACCCTAACTACCCTTAAAATCTGGGCCTTAGGCCTTGCAATGCTGAACGGAACACTGCCTAAATACCTTTAAAAATCTGGGTCTTTATCTGGAATTCCATGTCTTACAAAGATACTTTCAAATGTTCACATTTCAGGGTGCAAAGAGCAATGATCAGTAACAAACTTCACTTGTTCTTTGCCACATGAGAATCTGTAATGTCCGTTGGTATAGCCGGGCCCGAGTCAAGCAGTTCAGATCCAGATTCAAACCTCCGCAAAACTTCCAAACCCTGCACTGGAATACCCTGGTTTGGCCCATCTCTGACCATTTGATAGTCTCTGTAGTATCAGACAGGGAATCATGGGTCTGTAGATTGTATCTCAAGTAGAACAAATAGCTTGTTCACATGTGAGAAGCCTCTGGGTTTATTTCTTTGACGTACGATTCCCAAATAGCCTCCCTGTAGCATTCACGGGAGTATAATAGTTTTATGTCTATGAACAATCATGCCATTCACTGCTGTACATTTATATCTGTAACCTCCATAGTCCCTTGCTGACTGCTGTGCATTACCTTTGGTCGTCCTTTCATAATTGTTTCATTCAGCGTTTTCCCTCTTTGTGGCCTTTCACTTGCTGTGAGAAGGGATCACCAAGGTTTTATCTCCAACTCTCGCTTCCTCGGCTCCTTTCTCTAACGCAGCAAGTATGGATAGGGCAGCAGCCGGCAACACTTCATTACTACGACACAGCTTTCTCTCACATCTGTAGCTTTATCGTCATACTTTGCATCCTTATAGAACAGGTAATATGGTATCAGAGATCTGGATGTGTTTCAGCCTTTGTTCGCCGGTCAAAATTTCTCTTAGCACTTAAGCAATATCCCTAACAGGTCTGTTTGAATTTGTGCATCTAGTTTCTGCACCTCTGTGACCTGAATGCATAAACTGTAAACTGTCAACTTGCTTCCCACGACTGCAAAATGACTTCCCCGAAATCAAATTGTGAGGCACCTATTAAGATTTTCATAGGCCTTCCACTTACGTAGAACTTTAACACTGGCTCCTGTTCAAGCATCTCTTTCAGTTCCATCCCAGCTTTTCTGATAACTGCAGGACCACCTAATTTTCATTTTCTAGCCGCTCGCTCAACGCTGATATTTTTGTAGAAGATAAAGTATCATCATTTTAAGCCAGTCCTAAGCCGGTAGCTAATCATCATACAGGGAGTTCAGCAAACTGTGGGAGTTCTTGCCAGGAAGAGGGAGACAGTTTGCAGCCCATTTATGGTTCCCTGGTGGCAGTCAAGTGTTGAGTCAAGACTGAAGCTTTTCTTGCATTCAGAACCGTCTCCCAGCTGGTGACTCGGCATTTTCAAATGTAGATGGTTTAACACAGTGGTTCTTAACCAGACGTGTATCCCTGGGGTACGCAGAGGTCTTTCAGGGGGTACGTCAACTGATCTAGATCCGTGTTTCTCAACTTGTGGGCTGAAACCCCCACGGGGGTCGTGGGACGGGTTTAAGGGGGTTGCAAGTGCAGAGCTGGCATTAGGGGATGGCAAGCAGGGCAGTTGCCTGGGGCCACCTGAACCTAAGTTACACGCTTCAGCCCTGGGCAGCAGGGTTCGGGCTTTAGCCCTGTGCGGCGGGTCTCATTCAGGGGTACAGTAGTCTGGAAAGGTTGAGAACCACTGGTTTAAGACACAGCTCAAAAAAATCCTTAGAGTATGTCTTCACTGCACAGTTAGCTTGGGTCATGAGCAGCCAGGCATGAGTGACCACCCTATAAATCCACACCCACATTACAGTGTCCTTATTGGTGCTTCGCTCCCCCACATGTATTGCTAGGACTTCTAGAAGTCCATCCCATGGTTTTTTGGTGCTGCAGTAAGATCAGCCACTCTGATTTTTTCCTAGCGAACTGTGGGAGAACTGGTCAGTCCTTCAGGGCACACAGTGGAATTATGGGAAGGCATTGGAAGACTATCAGCGCTCGAGTGATTTAGCCTGCACCTTCATTGCAAATGGGCGGGTTACCAGTCCAAGTGAAAGTAGTACCCAGGCTCCAACCTGCAGCTGTAGCCAGGCCAGCTAGCTGGGACAGAAAGCACAATTAACTTGTGTGAGAGGATTGTGTGGGAGATGAGATTAGGGGCAACACCCGGGAAGAGCTATCTCTGCAGCAAAGACAATCCTCAAGAAGTTGCAGATCAGCTGACTTCAGAGGAAAGAGTTGGATTTACTTGCTCCACAAGGACTTTGGTCTGAAGTTCATTCCAGCAGAGCTTTGGTCAGAAGTGAAGCAGGTACTTTTCCAGGCCTTTTCTATGATATTGTGGGTCCATACAATTCAATTGGGCTTTAAAGAAACAATGAACAATTCCTATCAGAAACATGTTAGGTCAAACAAGACAGAGAGATTATCATACAACTGCATCTCTCCTGAGCTTAATTATCAGGTTTCTTTATCAACAATATAAAGAGGTACAACGTACAAAAAGGAAAAGGTTTCCTCCCCACTACCAACAAAACAGGGAACAAACTCCAGGTGTGTTAACTCGAAGGCTGTTCTGCTATGATCTGGTCTGCTTTTCTTAGAGCCCTCCACACCACAGTCACTGGCATTGCCCACTACGGCAGAGTAGCAGTGCTCTTTCACCAAGGAAGAGAAACTCTTGCCCTGTGTGAAGGTCATACGGACAGACATTCATCACACCCAGAGAACTTCAAGGCTGGGAGGTTCATGAGCAAAAGAGCCCCAGGAATGTATTTTGGCAGAGCTTGCAGACCTCACGAAAAGGGACTTTGCCCTCGCTTTTCTCCTTTCTCACACAGGGAACACGACAGCAATACGGGACAAGTGAGGAATTCTGGCTGGGGAGCGTGACAGCTCTGCTGGTGACTCACTGATGTCACATCACCTCCCTTTTTTATTTTAAAATGTCCCTCTCTCTCAAACCTGTGGGAGGCCTACTTCATTCGTGTGTGTGAAGCACCGAGATCCTGAAATGCATTGAAGTGCACAGTATTATGAAATCAGGAGGGAGATGTAAGGGAAGTATTACATTCCCCCAGCATGCACATGCACAAGAGGGAAAGTCGCTGAACTAAAACAGAAGTGTGAGCTTTCCCCTGTTGAGGAGCTGTGCTCGCGTGGTTCCTACAGGAAAAGCATCTCCAAGTGCCTAGGCAGTCCCTGCTCTTTAGGATCTAACCACAAACAGGAAAAGAGGAATCCTATGGCAGGCTGAAGTGGTCCCGTGCCCGGGCTCAGAAGGACACGCTGGAGCAGGTCCCGCAGCCCGACTCAGAAGAATAGGCTAGAGCAGGCCACCTTGTTGCAGCAGGGGCACGTATAGATCTTGTCCCCTATGTGCGTTCTCTGGTGCTGGACGAGCGTGGAGCTCCGTGTGAAGCTCTTACCGCACTTAGAGCATTTGTAGGGCTTCTCGCCCGTGTGTGTTCTCTGATGGCTGAGGAGGGTGGAGTTGAGGCTGAAGCATTTGCCACAGTCAGGGCACTGATAGGGCCGCTCCCCCGTGTGGCTCCGCTGATGTCGGGTCAGGGTGTAACTGCGGCTGAAGCGCTCCCAGCACTGGGTACACTGGTAGGGCTTCTCACCCGTGTGGGTTCTCTGGTGGGTCAGGAGATGCGAGTTCTGGTGGAAGCGCTTCCCGCATATAGTGCACTGGTAGGGCTTTTCGCCGGTGTGGATCCTCTGGTGCGTGATGAGGTGGGAGCTCTGGCTGAAGCTCTTCCCACACTCAGTGCATTTGTAGGGCTTCTCGCCCGTGTGGGTTCTCTGGTGCTCAATGAGGGTTGAGCTGCGACTGAAGCTCTTCCCGCACTCATTACAAATGGTCGGCTTCTCTCGCCGGTGAGTTCTCTGGTGTCTAATGAGATGCGATTTCCGGCCAAAGACTTTCCCACACTCCAGACACGCATTGGGCACCTCCCCTTTGTGGATTCTCTGCTGCTTCCCCAAAGCTCTCTCCTGGGGAGCAGACTTACCCCGTCTCTTCCCTGCAGGCTTTTGCGGCTGCTTTTCTGAGCTCTGCTGATTCTGGGAAACATTCGATTTGGATCTTCTTGAGAACGTCCCATGAGGCTCCACTTTCTCAGGCCCTTCTGGCTGAGGACTGCCATCCTCTTCGCTCTCACTTGCAATCTCATCATCTGCTAGGACAAAAAGAGAGAGTCACTGCCTGAGCTCAGGAAAAATGAACTCAGGGAAAGGGGAAATGCAAATAAATAAAACAATGCTGATAAATGTAGAAACTGGGAGCCAGGACTCTGGGCCCTTCCCAAGGGAGATAAGCAGGGAAGAGCTGTTCTTCAGCTTCCTGTCTGAAAACCCAGAGAAGAGAGATGAAGGAAGAGGAGGGGCTCCTAACAGAAACCAGCCAGGTTGGTGGAATGCAGTGGTCTACTCTGAGGTCATGACAGCTGCTGGTTACAGTAATGAACTAGTTGAACTATCATACTGATCATACTGGGTCCTTAGATTCATAGCTATTAAGGTCACATGAGACCATTAGATCATCTAGTCTGAACCTCCTGCATAACACAGGTCACAGAACCTCACCCAGCAATTTCTGCATCAAGCCCATACAATGAGCTATATCATCTCTTTTGAAAAGATATCCAATCTTGATTTAAAGACTTCAAGTGATACAGAATCCAGCAATTCCCTGGGTAAACTCTCCCACCAGTTAATTACCCTTTACTGTTAAAATAACAGCACCATATTTCTAGTTGGAATTTGTTTCGTTTCAGCTTCCAGCCATGGGATCTTGTTATTCCTTTTGATGCTAGATTAAAGAACTGTTAACTATCAGAAACTTTCTGCTCATGTACATTCTTATAGATTGGGATTAATTAAACTCCCTTCTTGACAGTCTCTTTGATAAACTAAACAGAATGAGCTTCTTTAGCCTGTCACCATAAGGCAGATTTTCCAGACCTCGGCTCATTCGTGCAGCCCATAATGAACGTTTTCTAATTTTTCAATGTTCATTTTGAAGTGTGGACCGCACAGCTGGACACGGTATCCAGAAATGGTCTCACGGATGCCATATACATAAGCAACAGAACCTTCCTACTCCTAACTGATCCTCCCCTACATACGAATACAAGGATTGTGTTCACCCTCTTAGCTACAACATTGTACTAGGAGCTCTTGTTCAATTGTTTATCTATCATTATTTCTGTCACTGCTTTCCAGGATACAGTCCCCTATTCTATAAGTGTGACCGCAATTCTTTGATCCTCAGCGTGTGACCTTGCAGTTGGCTGTGTTATTTACCACTCCAACAATTTGTGTCACCAGCAAGGATTTTATATTTTCTTCTGTTAGTATATAGGTCCGTTTGTTAGCCTGGGATAGAATTTTGGGTTTGACTTTTTGATACTCTTATACTAAAATGTGTAAACAAGGGACAAAGGCACTGTGAGGTTGCTTCTGCCTAGACAGATGGATTTCTTAGTAAAATAGGAACAGATAAGAGCAGTTAAAGTGTTATTCAAGCGCACACTTTAAGATGGCCTCAACCCCTATCTCAAGGCAAAGTCAAGCAACCAGTCGTGAGGGGCAAAGGGGCAGGAGTCACCGATGGGCCACATGGCATTGTAGGCAGTCTCCTCATACCATCCCCACCATAAACTTATCAAGCTCAGGCTTGAAGCCAGTTAAGTTTTTTAGTCCCACCGCTCCCCTTGGAAGCTGTTCCAGAACTTCTCTCCTCTGATGGTAAGAAGCCTTCATCTAATTTCAAGCCTAACCTTGCTGATGGCCCGTTTAGCCATTTGTTCTTGTGTCAACACTGGCACTTAATGTAAATAAGTCCTCTCCCTCCTTGGTATTTATCCCTCGGATGGATTTAGAACAAGTGATTTCTTTCCTGCCATCCATGTCCACCCTCTGACAAACAGAGGCTAGGGACACCATTCCTTACCCATCCTGGCTAATAGCCATTAATGGACTTAACCACCATGAATTTATCTAGCTCTCTTTTAAACCCTGTTATAGTCCTAGCCTTCATATTTATAGAGACCAATCATATCTCCTCCTAGCCTTTGTTTGGTTAGGCTAAACAAGCCAAGTTCTTTGAGTCTCCTCTCATAAGGTAGGTTTTCCACTTCTCTGATCATCTTAGTAGCCTCTCTCTGTACCTGTTCCAGTATGAATTCATCTTTCTTAAATATGGGAGACCAGAATTGCACACAGCCTTCCAGATGAGGTCTCACCAATGCCTTGTATAATGGTGCTAACGCTTCCCTATCTCTACTGGAAATACTTTGCCTGATGCCTCCTAGGAGTGCATTAGCTTTTTTCACGGGCACATCACATTGGCGGCTCATAGTTATCCTGTGATCAACCAAAACACCCACATCTTTCTCCTCTGTTGCTTCCAACTGATAAGTCTCCAGTGTATAGCAAAAATTCTTCTTGTTAGTCCCTAAGTTCATGACCTTGTCATATTAAATTTAATTCCATTTCTATTACTCAAGTTTTCAAGGTCATCCAGATCTTCCTGTATGACATTCCAGTCCTCCTCTGTATTGGCAATGCCTCCCAACTTCGTGTCATTTGCAAATATTATTAGCACACACCCACTTTTTGTGACAAGCTCATTAATGAAAATGTTAGGTAAGATTGGTCCCAAGACTGATCCTGAGGAACTCCACTAGTAACCTCCCTCCAGTCTGACAGTTCACCTTTCAGTATGAACCACTGTACTCTTTTCTTTAACCAGTTCCTTATCCATCTTTCAATTGTCATATTAATCCCCATCTTCTCCAATTTAATTAATAACATCCTCTGTGGAACTGTATCAAATGTCTTACTGAAATCCAGGTAGATTAGATCTACTGTATTTCCTTTGTCTACAAATTCAGTTATCTTCTTAAAGAAAGAGGTTGGTCTGGAATTATTTACCTTTTATAAAACCATGTTGTATTTTAGCCCAATTACTGTTTACCTTTGTCCTTAACTAATTTCTCTTTCAAAATGTATTCCAAGACATACATTATAGAAGTTTAAGTATATTATGACAATACAATGGTCTTTATAAACCAAATCTATAATGGCATCAAAAAACGATAAAACTTATTTGACAAGACCTATTGTTAAGGCTGTGAAGGGTTCGGTCACAGAGACCCCCTTGGGACTGTCACCTGATGTGCTGAAACTACCTCTGTGCCTGTTTTCTTTGCCAGCTTGGGACTCCAGAACCCTGTCTTCTTGAGCCAGACACACTAGCCTGCTGCAACACAGACCCAGGAGCTGGTCCACACCCCCAAAGTTGCAGAATTAATTGAAAACAGCTCAGCAAGTACTCCTGTCTCCAGCACCCAGACACCCAGCTCCCAATGGGATTCAAATCCCAAATAAATCTGTTCGACTCTGTATAAAGCTTAAACAGGGTAAACTCATAAATTGTCCGTCCTCTATAACACTGATAGAGAGATATGCCCAGTTGTTTGCTCCCCCAGGTATTAATCACTTACTCTGGGTTAATTAATAAACAAAAGTGATTTTATTAGTAGGATTTAAGTGGTTTCAAGTAATAACAGACAGAACAAAGTAAGTTACCAAGCAAAATAAAACAAAACATGCAAGTCTAAGCCTAATGCATTAAGAAACTGATTACAGGTAAATCTCACCCTCAGAGATGTTCCAATAAGCTTCTTTCACAGACTAGACTCCTTCCTAATCTAGGCCTAATCCTTCCCCTGGTACAGTCCTTGTTAGTTCCAGCTCGGCTGGTAACTAGGGGATTTCTCATGACTGGCAGCCCCCTCTGGTCGGTTCTATCCCCTTTTATAGCTTTGGCACAAGGCGGGAATCTTTTGTCTCTCTGGGTCCCCACTCCTCCTTCTAAATGGAAAAGCACCAGGTTTAAGATGGCTTCCAGTATCAGGTGACATGGTCACATGTCCGGTGAGACCCCAAGCCTTCACTCTTCCCGGCCTGACTCACAGGAACGCTTGCAAGTAAACAGAGCCATTTACAACTATTGTCCTAGTCAATGGGAGTCATCAAGATTCTAAACCACCATTAATGGCCCACACTTTGCATAATTATAATAGGACTTCAGAGTTATATTTCTAGTTTTAGATACAAGAATGATACATACAAATAGGATGATCACACTCAGTAGATTATAAACTTTGTAATGATACCTTACAAGAGACCTTTGCATAAAGCATATTCCAGTTACATCATATTCACACTTATAAACATATTTTTATAAAGCATATGGAGTGCAACGTCACACCCTCCTCCTGAACTTACTGCTGGAGTCTTGGACACTGTCCATGGCGGAGGCAGTGCATGTAAAATCCCTGTTTGTCTCTGGTTACACACCCTTCCAGTACCTTTAAACCCTAAGATGTCATTCATAGGTGTTCTCGCAAAGTTCTGGGTTCCTGGTCCCTGGGTGCCTAAAAACACATTGGGGTGCAGTATTGCTAACAGACTGCAGATAGCATTCTGGAGTGCAACATCACAAAGGCTACATTTTAGTCATGGGTATTTTTAGTAAAAGTCATGGATAGGTCACGGGCAGTAAACAAAAATTCACGGCCCGTGACCTGTCTATGACTTTTACTATATACCCCTAAATAAAACTTGGGCCAGGGGACTGCATGTGCCCAGGGGGACAGGACGGGAGCGCTGCGGGTGCCGGTGGCCCGGACCCCTGCTGGTGCTATGGAGTCTGGGGGTTGGCAAGCTCCCTATCCAGCATGTCCCTGTAGCTTGGAGCTCTGTGCGCTGCTCCCACCACAAGCGTCGGCTCCACAGCTCCCATTGGCCAGGAACCGCAGCCAATGGGAGCTGCGAGGGCAGTGCATGCGGGAGCGGGCAGCGCGTGGAGCCCCCCTGGCTGCTCCGCCTAGAAGCTGCAGGAACATGGTGGTGGGAGCCAGGGAGTGCCGCCCCCTCCCCGTAAGCGCTGCCATGTACCCCAACCCCCTGCCCCAGCCCTGAGCCCCCTCCCACACACCCAAACTGCTGCTGCTAGCCCAGCCCCTGAGCCAGCACCGGCCGTTGCAGAAGTCATGGAGGTCACAGAAAGTCATGGAATCCGTGACCTCCGTGACAAGCACACAGCCTTACCTATTATCCATAAAACCATGTTATGCTACAATCCTTTAATTATTTACTGAGTCCC